TGATTTTGATATTTTAAGTTAAGTATTATAAAATGATATGCTTGTTCACATGCTCAAGGATAGTCTTTCTGGGCAAATTATCCTAAACAGGGTAACTCAATAGCAAAGTAGGCAGGCTTTTAATGCTATTACTATTAGGAAAATACCATTAATATGAGACATATGTAGGATGCTATTACATCAGTAGGCTGCATTTATTTAGTCAGTATGCAGGAAGAGTCCTATGGATCAGAGTGGAGATGCTGGGCCTTTAACACATGTAGCTTGGCTTAGTCTCGAGGTCAAAATCTGTTAATGCAATTTTCTGTATAAGAAAAAGAATTTAAAATCCATGTGGTTTTAATGACACATTCTGAGATTGGGAGCATGGGGGGGTGTTGATTTGTTTGAGTTTTTTTATTTGTCCTACTGACATTAAATATGAACTTCTTTGAAATGTGTGTATGTGCCAGACACTGAAACTAATTAGTGAAATAAGACAAACTTTAAAAAAAAATCTCTTTCCATTTATTTGCTTGAAAAGTTTGATTTTGGTCAAGTTATGTTTCAAATTAAAAAGATCATTATTGGTAATTTGCATTTACTTATTGAAGCATTACATAATAAACCAAAACCATGTGTCAAAATGTAACTCTTATAAAATAAGTGCACTGAGATAAAGGGGCTTCAGAGATTTAAAAAAAAATCAATGTGACACTTAAATAAGACATCTAAAAAGGGTGTCTGCTTTTAAAAAGAGAGTGTTTCTATTTCAAATAATTAATATGTTTTGGTTTCTTTGTTTCTGTGGTCTCGTAGCACAACTTATATATAAAGCACTATGTTAAACATGCATATTTTGGACCGAGCTCTTGTTTGTGTCTATTTAACAGCTACTCACAGCTGTCTCTGCTTTAAAAGTATTGGGATGAAATTTCATCACAAGCTCCAGTCAATACAAAGCACTAACATTATTTTAAGTGGCCATGGCCGGGCTGCACGGCGGCGGCTGGAGGGAGGCTGGTACAGGCAGGGTGCAGGCAGCTGCCTGCAGCGCTGGCTACTCCTCCTCTCACCCAGGTGTCCCTACACGCTGCACCAGTGCTGAATAGCACACCTTGGGTAGGTTCTTCCTGTGAACAGATAGGCTGCAGCTTATCTGATTAATATATAGATTTATACTTCAAGATTTGCTGCTAATTTAACTGTGCAAAACACACCTGCCTCCCTGAAATGTTAGCAAGTAATAGGGAAAGCAAAACTGTAATTTGCATTTTTCTTGGCATACTGAAAAGAAAGAGGAGGTGAATCATTACTAAGTGGGTCTGGAAAGCTTTTATCAGTGTGAAAAGGAAACACAGAACAAGGGAAGATTTCATGATTTCACTTACTCAAAAAGTTAAGGAAATGTATTAAAGGAAGACTTCGCCTTTCCTGAGATCACGGTGTTTGACCCCTTTTCCCATTCAAAATTCAAACTATAAAAGCTTCTGATGCCACACCAGCATCACCCCCTCATGAAGCTGAAGCAGAGATGAGCACACACCAACATATCTCCAGCCCTTGGACAGGACATGGCTGTGAATAAAAAGCATATATTGAAAGCAAGAAGCAGCATATATTGACAAGACGGTGTAAGTCCCCTTTGCTGTAGAACTCCCAGCATTGGCCACCACTTGACTCCAACATCAGGGGAGCACCTGAGCAGTCATTCACCAGTATCTGTAGGAGACTATTTTTAATGTGAAATACCTGCTAAAGAGCTCTGCTGACCACATTTCTTTTTCACTTATGCATTCTCCCTAACTCTAATTTAATTTTAATTTGAAATTTAATTTTAAGATCTTTACTTCCACCTCAGTAGTCCACATAAATCCTGCCAGATTTTATAACCAAAAAGCCCCACCAGATCTCCTTTGGAGGCTGATGGGTGTGTGTGTGCAGAGCATGAGCTGAGTAACCTACGTTATATCACTGATGATGAGACACATGAGGCAATCAGATAAACTGCCAGATGTTGATAAATCAGGTGCTGGGTCACACCGTACCTCTTGGCTCTCTCATAGGGACATTTCTCGTCTTACTCTTTATGTTCACCCATCCTGTTTCCTGCTGCTATCAGAGGAGCTGAGGAATGAAGCTGAGGTTAGGAAAGTCACCTATGGTGTGTGAGGTTTAATATTTGCCTTGACCTGCTTCAGCCATCCCCACCAGAACCCCACCAGGTCTCACCATCCCTCTCCCCACACTGGCTGCAGTGGCCAGTGCTGCCTGTGCTCTTTGAGGTCTTGCAGCCCAAGGTTCAACATCTGGGGAGAAAACTTCAGCTCGTGACAAGCCCCTTGGAACATTAGGAGCTGATGTGTTTTAAACCCATGTGTGCAATGCCAGTGATGCTCCTGTAACCTGTTCTTTGTGTTGCATGAGGACCTCAAGCAATGGCACGGCCAGGCTGGCAGCTGCCTGGCAGCACTGAGGTCCCTCCACCTCATCATCAGTGTGACTGTCCAGTGGGGAGAGACCTCTTCCCTTTCTGACTGTTCACAAGTTAAAATGGACAAGGATTTTTTCATGTTCTCCAAGTGTGTTGCTCTCATTTCTGTTTCTATTTATAAAATTGAACAAAAAGATCTCATGTAATGGTTTGCTTCTTGTGTTTCATCTCCTTCTACCCACAGAACATCAGCACTTAAAGTCCCTCAGAACCTTTTACTGTTTGTATACGTTTGTCAAGCATTGGGTTTACATCGTTTTTCAAGTCTTAAATTAATTAGCAGTACCTGAAATGCAATAGGTCACATGAAGCAGAGGGTTTTGTTTGGCGTAGCCGGTGGGGTGGTGGAGCGTGGGGGCAGCAGGGCACGGCAATGCCCGCTGGCTTGCAGTTCAGCTGCCGCTTGCCTGCATGCAGGCCACCATCTCAGCGCTGGGGTTTTGGTGCCCAGCAGCAGGAAATGTTCCACACTGCAGGTAGAAAGCCATGGCATGCTGCAGTTAGAAGGCCAAATTGTCAAGACGGTTCAACGGAAGTTTTGAAAGATGCAGTGAGCACAGGCTGGGTATCATCTTCCCAACAGGTCAGGCTAAATGAATTTATTGGTCCCCACTACCCAACATGGCACAGCTGGGCTGCCTCTGGCACCGCTGGTGATGCTGTCCTTTGAGAAATCTTACTCTCTCTCATTGCCATTACTCTCAGGGACTAACACCGTGGTTTCGTCCTCCACTTGTGGCTTCCTCCAGTGTGGTAACACCTCCATCCCCAGCACCCTCTGCTCCCTCCCTCACTGGACCCCACTGTATGCACAGCTCCCCTCCTACCAGTGCACAGGCCAGGCTGGCACCCAGTGAGTCAACCCGCTGCTCAGGCTGCTTCTATTTTATTACTTAGTCTTAATAGATAAGCTACATACACGATATGTGTGTATATATATATGTATACCTTTATCACAGTATATTTCTAAATACGTCATATACACACAATGTCCATAGAGAACATATACATATGGCATATCTGTATATATGCATGTCCGTATGTGTACACACATGATTTACTCTGCATACATGTATACATATACATCATAACCCCACTGGGATGGTTGTTTCAATCCTGGCATTGTTGTACCACATTCTACATGATGCTGTGATGATGACACAGTCTTCCATGGGGTTAGCTGTGGTTTTGGGGTATTTTTCGGTCTTTGTGTTGTTTTTTTTTTAAAACACCTGATCCTGGAGACTATCCCTTGAGCCTTACACCTGACAAAGGCCTCTGGGCTTTACTGGGATTCAAATGGTACATTCATACACTCACGATTAGCTTCACTAAAGATATTTTTGAATATTTTAACATGAACAGCTCTCATGTCATTCATTGTAGCTGCAGAATACTTTTACAAAATTTTAATTATAAACCTAGTAATTATGATATTAACTTACATTATTATATATTAATTTAAAATCTTAATGTGTCTTAATGACAACAGCAACAAAGACATGCATAAGAAATTACAGTGAATTGTTCCATAGTACAGATGACTTCAGCTCTTACAAGAGGCGAGCTGGTGCTGGGAGAGGCAGACTCATTCCCAGCAGGCAGAACTTTTATATAAAGAAAACACTCCTTTTTTTTTTTTTTTTTTTTTTTTTTTTAAACAACTGCTCCTTTTCACTTTCTCAGTGAACTCCATGTCTGTGTTTTATGGTGCAGCAGGCCTGGCTTTGCAGTTTCATTCTTCTGGTTTGCAATACCAGAACCATACTACTATCTGTGTGAATAAGGCATTTTCTCCAAGAACATGCCTAATGGTTAGAGTCAGTCTACCAGATGGGTTGTAAAACACTTTGAAACAACTCCACTCAAAGGATATTATACTCCTGTAGCTGTATGTTTGTTTTATTATAAACAGAGCTTTCTAAGTAAAAAACATAGAAATGCTGTCTACTTCTGAAGCAAACTGACATGTGGAGCCGCACTAGATCTCTGGTGAAACAGAACTTAATTTATCAATCCCACTAAATATCAAAGGGGCTTGAGGAAGAGCCATATTACTTTCAGTCTTTTTAACTGAAAGACAATGTGGGTGACTGAAAAGCCCTTGTAGTTTTAATTTATCATCTGACTGACAGGCATTAGATGGTGTTCCTCCAGCAAGCTGATTTCAGGCCTTCCCTGGTCTAGCTCCTGCAACTGCAGCAGGAGCCCTGCAGGTGTGAGGGGCATCTTTGATTCTGATTTTTCTATTCTAATCTCAGCAGAGAGGGCCCTGAAACCTTGGTGCTCTAGCTGGAGGCAGAGCACCCAGCTGGAGAAGTGCTCCTTGGGGGAGCTCCTGGTGGGGGACAGAGATAAACTGCTGGCTGCACACACAGTGGCTCCCACATGGTCGCCCGTGCCAAGGCTTACTGCTAATGACACCAACAGACATCATCTTGAGTCCATTTCATGATGCCTTATCAGCCATAGCTGTTCATGATACCCTTTAATTATGAAACGGTCCTTTGTGCAAGTTTTGGGCAATGCAAGATGATGCAAAGCCAAGCAGTCTGCCTGACTGTGTCAGACCAGTAGGTCGAATAATTCTCCCAAGTAGGGAGAAAAGTCGACATGTTTCTGCACCACAGAAGAACCGTCAGTCCTTTGGTGGGGATGGAGCTCGTGGCACTGTTGGCTTTCTCCTCTTCTAGGGTGTGATTTTCCTGCCTGAAATCAGTAATAAAAGTTCTCCCCAACAACTCACATTTGATCTGACTTCCAAAATGAGCCATGCACATGAAAGACAGCTGCTTAGAAGAATCCATAGGCAAGATGGGAAGAGAAGCATCGACTCCAAACCCACTGCCTACAGTCACCATTTTATTCCTTCAGAACCTGAGAAACTGGAATTGTCTCTGTAAAACACAATTAGCGTCCACATTATGATTTGTCAAACACCATCCATAAGAGAAAAGCTAAGCGGATTTTTTAATCTGAATTTGTACAGGCTTTTCTGTCATTCTTTAAGCAGTTACATTATTATTTCTTCCCATAATTTGTATAAAGTACTTAGCATTCAAAACAGATCCTTTTTAACCTTTTGCCCAACTTAGCTTTTTGTACTTTAAAAAAAAGTTGGGGGGGGGGGG